GAGGTGTTCAGAGTCAGATTATTGTCCATGCACCATGCTGACAGATGCTCCACCTCCGTCCTGTACGCTGTCTCATCCCCTCCTGAGATGAGCCCCACCACCGTGGTGTCATCTGCAAACTTGATGATGGTGTTGCTCGGGTAGGTGGGGGTGCAGTCGTGGGTGTAGAGGGTGTAGAGGAGGGGGCTCAGCACACAGCCCTGTGGAGAACCCGTGCTGGTTTTCACTGGAGAGGACAGGTGGTGTCCTACTCTCACCCTCTGGGAGCGGTCTGTCAGAAAATCCATAATCCAACTACAGGTGCTGTTGGGGAGACCCAGGTCTCCCAGTTTGCTCACCAGCCGGCTCGGGATTATAGTGTTGAACGCCGAGCTGAAGTCTAAGAAGAGCAGCCTTGCGTAGCTCCCCCGCTGCTCCACGTGGGTCAACGTGGTGTGCAGGGCGGTGGCGATGGCATCCTCCGTGGACCGGTTGGCCTTGTAGGCAAACTGGTGAGGATCGAGTGTGGGGGACAGGTGTGAAATGATATGACCCCGTACCAGTTTCTCGAAGCACTTCATGATGATGGGTGTGAGTGCTACTGGCCGGTAGTCATTAAGGCTGGTAATGTTTTTCTGTTTAGGCAGAGGAATAATGGTGGAGGACTTCAGGCAAGGTGGGATGGAGCACTGGGAGAGGGACTGGTTAAAGATGGCAGTGAAAAATGAATATTGTCACAGTTGAGAGGAGGTTTTTGAGGACCCAAATGCAAAGATAAGGAGGCAGATATACATTTTGTAGATTTAATGAGTCAACAGAGGTAAAATTCAAAAACACAAAGGACCAAAAGGCCAGAAAACATCAGGGAAAACTCATGTGAGGTGCCAGAGATGAAAAAGCAACTAAACAACAACAAACCAGCATTGAGTGACTGCAGAGGTGGTGTATATAAGGGGAACAGAGCAAAGGATGGGCTAATGAGCTGAATATGGAGCAGGTGTGAGTGGAACTAAACAGAAGGAAGCCAAAGCCAAAGGAAACAAGCACAAGGGGGCGACAGAGAGTAACTAAAGAACTAAACAGTGACAGAAAACAACTACAAATAAACTTAATCAGAGGGCAGAACCCTGACAAATGTCTACTTTGATCTAAAAAAAAAAGAGCACAGAATACAAGAACAGCTAATAATCAATACCTAGATCAGCTTATATAATCAAAACTTGCTGGCATAAGATGTTTGATTTTGTATTCAGGTATATACAGTTTTTATCATATACCTAAAAAATGCTTACATTGACCAACAGCTGATACCAATTGTAATGAAAATCCGAAAGAATCTGGCTGACTTGAAGCAGCTATCTATACCACTAACAGCTCCTCCACCCATATATGAGGATCAGCTGTTGTGGCATATTTAAAGGTTCAATCATAATTTTAATGACCTGATGGCAGTGAGAATGTTTTATAGTGTACTTTCTAGATTAAACAGTTTGTAAAACTATTGTTTCCCCACTTATCACAGCAAATAAAGCAAAGCCTCTCTCCATTCCAGCTGCCATTACATACAAGCAGTGCTGTTGGTAATGTGTTACATTTTGTTAGTTGTGTAACCCCTTATTATAATATATTACGTTCAGCAGTAATGGAGTCAAATCACACATTAGAAACTACATGTTGGTAATATCACTAGTTACAGTAAGGCAAAAAAGTATTTAGTCAGCCACCAATAGTGCAAGTTCTCACAGACCTGTAACTTCTTCTGTAAGAGGCTCCTCTGTCCTCCACTTGTTTCTTTCATTAATGGCACCTGTTTGAACCCGTTATCAGTATAAAAGACACCTGTCCACAACCTCAAACAGTC